CCCCAAAACCCCAAAACCCCAAAACCCCAAAACCCCAAATTAATATTTTAGAACTGAAAACAATATTTCCTCAATTATTTAAAATTTAAAAATGTCAAGTTCCCAAGAGGAGGGTAAATCCTGACCCCAATATCCAGCCTTTTTCTCTACAAGACTGTGGTTCCTTTTATAGTACTTTACTTAGAAATCAAGAGTACAAGTCTCATAAATTTCTTTGAGAGAGTTTATGTGCTCTAGTATGTATATTTTTCCAAGCCTACAACCCCTCATCTTAAAGATAAAATCATACCAATGAATACTCTTTATAGGAGAAACATCAAGAGAAGAAAGCAAGATCATTAAAAGAGAGGCAATCTATGAAGATGACAACTCGAGTAATTCCAGCAGTGCAGACGAGGAAGATCTCTTTGAAGAGTTCAGCAAAATGGATGCAGAAAAAGTAATCAAATCAATTTTGATCTAATCTTATCAGGAGACTAAGCCTTCTATCAACACTGAAGAGGAAAAGTCAACACCTAGGGTGAATCAGAAGGATTTAAATTGCTTCAAGACTTATAAATAAGTCTAAAAAGCCTTTTGCTAGGAGCCGCACAGCCTCAAGAAAAGTATATATTTTGCTAATAATTAGGTAAAGATAACAGGAAATGGAGCCAAGAGCAAAAGAAAACAGCCAATTAAATAAATTATGAGTAAATGTAGCCTACACAAGGTACAAGATCGTCAGATATGTGGCTAAATAAAATATTTGGCTACAGACTCAGTAAGAGTGATAGTGATGAATGGGACATCTGATGGCTCGATGCAGGGATCTCACATGAAAGATTGTTCAAAATGAAAGCATTTCAAAGGATAAATCACTTCCCAGGGATGTACGCTATAGCTAGAAAGAATTTACTTGCAAGGAATTTAATGAAAATGCAAGACAAATTTCCTAATGAATACGACTTCTTTCCAAAAACCTGGTCTCTTCCCGCTGAAATGTGCGACTTTAAACTACAATTTCAAAATGCGAATAATAAAAGAAAAGCAAATAACCCTACATTTATTTGTAAACCTGAAGCTGCTTGACAAGGACGAGGTATATTCTTAATGAACAATCTAAATAAGATACCTACAAAAGACAACTACATTGCCCAAAAATACATCACAAATCCATACATAATCGATAATCTAAAGTTCGATCTTCGTCTATATGTCCTCATTTGTGGAGTTGATCCCCTCCGAATCTACTTATATGACGATGGTTTGGCTAGATTTGCTACTCACAAGTACAAAAAGCCTACTAATAAGAATTTAAAATAACTCCTTCATCCACTTAACAAACTATGCTATCAACAAAAATAGCGCTAAATACGAGAGCAATACAGGTCTTGATTCCACTAACAAAGGGCATAAGCGGAGCTACAAGTCCATCTTAGAGCACATGCGTCATAAAGGAGAGGATGTAGAGAAACTACAAGAAGATATTGAAGCTGGCATCATAAAGACTCTCTGATGCATACAGCCTTCTCTTGCACATGCTTACAGGTCATGTCAGCCTGAGGATGTTGAGAACTCCATGTGCTTTGAGATCCTCGGTTTTGATATTCTAATCGACCAAAAACTAAAGCCATGGGTGATCGAAATCAACACTAGCCCCAGTTTTCATGTAGACACACCTCTCGATTACACTATTAAGAAAGGAGTTATCGAAGAAAGCATCAGGTTGCTTAACCTTAGCTACAATCGTAAACTCAGATTTAAGAAGAAAGAGAAAACTGAATTTCAAAGAAGAGTTCTCTCTGGTAAAATAAGGAGACAAACCCAAGAAGAGAGGATTATTACAAAACAAGACTACAACTCTAAAAGAAACGCTAAGGTAAATCTACCCATCTCAGCTTTCTAGGAGCTTAAAGTAGTAGAAAACTTTAAGCTAATTTATCCAAATTTTGAAATGGAAGTCTATGAGAACTTCATGAGCACCGCAAAGATTATATGGGAAGAGTTTACAGGGAGCAGTAATAAGCCAAATAAGTCAGAGAAAAAGAGGAAGGATAGATTAGACTCTAGTATAATTAATCCACCCAAAGTTGCAATCAGTAAGCTTCATTTTTGAGTAATTTAGTGCAAAAAGTCGATAATAAGACCATTCTCAAACCAAAGAGAAGAAGACCAGCTAGTGCGTATTCCCGGCAGAAAGAAAATAGATTTAGTACTTTTTATGATTAATCAGTAGCGAAATCAATAAAAGAAACTCAGATTTATACTAGAACTGATGATGACACTGTGATGATTAAGAAAGAAAAGATTACTTACCAGCCTTCGATTGTGAATTTGATGCCAATAAAAACTAAGTCTAAAAGCTCAAAATCAACTACATTCACTGGCATCCACCATTCGAAGACAAAGTCTTCCAGTGGAGGAGATACTCAATCAAAGAATTTCATGCTAAAGCATCCAATGAGAGATAGTATGAAGAAGAAAGGACTAGCATATTCTAAATAAAGGGAGACCCCCTACCCAAGATTCTAGAGGAGTTGGTAAGACTCGACCACCTTCAGCAAGGGTTTCCATGGTCAAGCAATCGTCAGGTGGATACCATAAGGTTAGTAGAACTGATTCCTTTGCACAAACTATTTCAGAAGAAGTCAGGAAAAAGTCTAACTCAAAGTATTTCTCTCAATCAGTGAATAAGAATGACAGAAATAAGGAAATGCCTATTTCTATAACTACAATGAACGATATATCTATGCATAAGTCTTCCCAACAGATGGATCATAATGAACCTGCCTTTGAATACAGTGAAGGGTATGCAGCTCCTTATGACTACGAGCCTCTTAACAGCTTAGATCCTCAACTGAATTTTCTGAATAAGAATAGAAAGAACGGAATCTCTCAGCCAGTTATTAATAAGCAACCAATCACACAACATGGAGCTGTCAAAGCAGTTAATGCCTTCAACACGTTACATAAAGATCCTTCGACTAAAAAGAAGGATAAAGAAGAAAGTGCTGTATCTCGCCCAAAGATTACTGGTAATAATACGAAATTAAAGATAGATAAGCTACTTAGATAAGTAAAAGCTTATTATCCCCTTTTTAGCATTTGAACTAATCCAATATATTTATCATAAGATACACATATAGATAGCACATTTTACAAAAATGAGAAATCTAGGATAGGCACACTTTCTATCACAGGAAACAAATCATACATAGGGTATAAGGGGTCCCATACTTCTAGCACAAGAAGTATCGGAACAAGACAAAAGCAGAACAGGTCTCAGAGAGTATCAAATCGAAGCTTCCAGAGACAATCCAGAGTTGAAGATACTTATATTCATTGCAAGAGTACTATGAAGTCTTTATTCGACAATAAGAACACGAATATGCTTAATAAGAGCATTAATGACAAAGATTCCTTTTCAATAACAAGAATTCCGGTAGGTCAATTAAGAGATATCTCTCAATAAATGAGTTAATAATCAGATTAAAGAGAGTAAAGAACCAGGGTTATAAAAATAACCAACTCAAATCACTAAGGACTCTCTAACTATCTCTTCTATATGGTTGCATACTCTTTATCTAAACTTCAAGAAGTGAAGATTAAAATTTGATTTGCATATTTAGAAATCTTTCATTTACCAAAATTATAGCAAAATAATATTTCCAACCTCTCAAGTAAACAAGGAACTGTTGATGTAAACAACAACTCGAGTAAGTCTCGGATAGTATCTTTAGTGGTGGATTTTGAGAAAAGTATACATAGATTCCGCACTGGCTCAACTAGGAAGAAAATAGTGACATACAAGAACAATTACCTGATCAATGATGATTTAGATATTGGGGATAAATAATCTGTAGTTTCAACAACAGAATAAGCTGTGGGGTTTTGGGGTTTTGGGGTTTTGGGG